AGCACGATCTCTGCTTCTCTGTTTTGCCCTCCCCCTCGAGTTTTAGTAGAGAGATGTATGATCTTGGGGTGAGGTTTTCCCCCTGGCTTTCAATGCAAAGGTCTGCTCAGGCTTATACCTGCCAATGCTACAGCGTCCATTTTTCTAGACCATTCGGTATAAAAATATAATTATATCAAACAGTTACTTCAAATGTTTTAAAGTATCTAAAGCACAAATGGGAATTTTTGTTTGATTCAGTTTACTTGTCATGGCATGAAGGTAATCTATTATGTCTCGACACAAGTAACATATCTACCCACAACTTATAGTAGATACAGATTTTTCCCTCTGTAAGTTTTTCTATACTGTGGCATCTTTGCAAGATTTTCTTCACTGATTGTGTACAGTAATCAGCTTTCTCCAACATGGCAGCCACCTGATTTTTCATTACAATTCCCATTATTCCTTGCTACTGGCAACAAATACCTGCCTGATACCTATAATTTTTTATTTTCCAAATGAAGCATCTCATAAAGTTTCTCTTATGTTCATCTTCCTTAATTCTTAATTCTCTTCTGTTCACAAACTATGAATTTTCTAGTTTATGTTGGGGAATGGCGTATAAGCAGCAAAAATGGAATACAAAACCAGGTACCACATTAATCTGAGAAGCAACTGAGAAATGTAGGTGAATAACACTTGGCAAAAGGGAACAGTCACAGGGCAAATCATAACTTGAACATTAGTTTCCTGATTAATGTGTAACCGGTTATAAAAAGATAGGGAAAGGGAGGAATTGTGAAGATAGCCATGCAGAGGAGACAGGATATCCTTTGTTTGCAATCTCTGTTAAACTGTCCCTGGCAAATGCAGGAACTGTAAACTCTTTTAATGCTCAGCAGTTGGGAGAAACATTCCAGAGCATGCAAGAATGGGTCCTGCTGTCTCAGTGCAGTTCACAGGCAATTCTGTTTGGCTGAAAACTGCATCTAACAAACAGATTTATGAATAAATGGGAGGGTCTGGCAAAGGACAAGATGCACACAAAAGAAAAGAAACAAGGGGTTTTAAAACTGCCAGATGGGAGGATGGATTTCTTCTGCCTGTTGCATATTTCCTCAGTTTGGGCTTTTCTCGCATGTGTGTGTTTATGTGGGCATGTGTACTTTAAGTGGCAGATAATAGTTAATAGCGGTAACCTCCTTTGGGGGAATC